CTGCAGCCATTGGCTCCTGCTGCTGTCAATCACAGAAAGTCAGCCAATTGGGAGGGGGGGAGGGGCACGGCCAAGCCACAGCTCTGTGTGTGAATGGACACGTAACAGTGGGTGACCTCCTAGCAAGCTGCTTGCTGTGGGGGCACCCGACAGGAGGATCCAGAAGAGCCTGCGGGGAACCTGAGAGGAGGAGGATCCAGGCTGCTCTGTGCAAAACCACTGCACACAACCACTGCACACAGTAGGCAAGTATAGACGTTTATTATTTTACAAAAAAAAAAAAAATAGAACCTTTTTAGAATTTTAAGTAATATCATTTGGTAAAACAAGCCTTCCGGTACTACTTCCTGTTGCATGCAGAAGGTCCCTGATAGTCTTCTGTCTCAGGGCCCAATCCTACTATGTGCAGTTACCTGCATTTCACCAGCAAGTGAGAAAAAGGGAGCATGAGTTCGAGCACTATTCCTCCCATGGGGCACTATTCCTCCCACTGACACCAATGATGGGGCACTATTCCTCCCACTGACACCATGATGGGGCACTATTCCTCCCACTGACACCAATGATGGGGCACTATTCCCCCCACTGACACCAATGATGGGGCACTATTCCCCCCACTGACACCAATGATGGGGCACTACCCCCCACTGACCCCAATGATGGGGCACTATTCCCCCCACTGACCCCAATGATGGGGCACTATTCCCCCCACTGACACCAATGATGGGGCACTATTCCCCCCACTGACCCCAATGATGGGGCACTATTCCCCCCACTGACACCAATGATGGGGCACTATTCCCCCCACTGACCCCAATGATGGGGCACTATTCCCCCCACTGACCCCAATGATGGGGCACTATTCCCCCCACTGACCCCAATGATGGGGCACTATTCCCCCCACTGACCCCAATGATGGGGCACTATTCCCCCCACTGACACCAGTGATGGGGCACTATTCCTCCCACTGACACCAGTGATGGTGCACTATTCCTCCCACTGACACCAATGACGTGGCACTATTCCTCCCACTGCAAAATTACAGTTATGAAGTAGCAACGAAAATTTTATGGTTGGGGGTCACCACAACATGAGGAACTGTATTAAGGGGTTGCGGCATTAGAAAGGTTGAGAACCACTGTTCTAGTGTTTCCCAAATCTTTTCCAAAGTCATACAGTTGCTTGTCAGTCAACACAGGAAACTAAATTGTATTGCTGAGGCACTAAAATCAATGCATTGTTGGGGAGGTTTGAAGACAGGTTTGGGATACCCTGTACTTTCTTTATCATGTCCCAATCATAAGGTGATACTTTCCAGATTTGCTGTAATACTATCTATAGCTGGCAATTTGGAACCTGTTTATTTTATGCTGACAAACTGGAAGTAAATGGAGCTTGAATGCCAGCCTGAATGTAGTACAAAGTATTAAGGGCGTATTTGTCTTTTTCAAATGATCTAAATCCTTGTTTTATATCCTGGATCATTTTAATGTTAACATTTGGTAAGCTAAAACTCTTTTTAATGAAGCTGTGGTGGTTTAACACATACAAAAATGTATTTTTGTGTGTTTTATCGTTCTTTTCCATGGGATTTCCCAAGGCCATTGCTACATACTGTAAATACCTTATGGGGCCGCTCCAAGCTATGGATGGAAGGAAAAGGATCACCCCACCGGCAAGCTAGAGGAGGGGAGCATGAGTCAGAGCGATTCCAATATCACCCAATACAAGTGAAGGGATGGACACTGCTCAACCAACCCCAGGAGTCCAATGCTGAGGAATTGCCTCAGCCACCATACTGGGCACACCCTGAGAGGGCGTGGCCAGTATGGTGGCTGAGGCTATTCCTAAGCATTGGACTCCTGGGGTTGGTTGAGCAGTGTGTCCATCCCTTCGCTTACACTCACTGGCCACTTTTATTAGGTACACCTTGCTAGTAGGGGTGCACCGAAATTACTGTGGCTGAAACATTTTGGCCGAAAACACCCCTATTGGCTGATATGAAAATAAGCACTGATACAGGTGCCGAAAATAACCCCGCTGCTGCCGCCACCCGCCGCCACTCTGTGGTTCTCAGCCTTACCTTGACCCCGGCACTGTGCATAGAGAGAAGTGCTGAATAGATGGCCTCCACTCCTCTCTATGCCCCTGGCGGACCGGAGCGATGTCACTTTCAGTTCCGGCGCCTTGTAAACAAGGCCATTTTTTATTTACATTTGTATTTCTTTAATCATTATACAAACAATATAAAAAAACACATTACCCCTTATAAGAATGCATTTCCTATTATATCTATAACCCTCAGCCACCCCCCCTCCCCTTCTACTCTAATATCTATCTGTATCTAGGATTATTCCTTTTTTTTTTTTTTTTTTTTTTTTTTTTTTTTACTACTAGATCAATGCTTTTTTTTTTTTATAGAGGAGAGATGTGGGGTCAAGAATGTCTCCATAAAGACCTGTCCCTAACTATTTCTGTCACAGGGGATGCATGCATTCCTTGTGATAAGAATAAAACTGATTACATTTTTTTAAAGTGCTCCCGTGCTCGCATGCAGTGGTGAACTCCTATGTAGGTCACACCCAGGTATTGCCACGAACGTCAGCGCAAGAGCAATAATTCTAGCACTAGACCTTCTCTAACTTTACACTGGTAACCTGTAGAAAGTTTTAAAGCATCACCCATGGAGATTTTTAAGTACCGTAGTCTGACGCCATTCCACGAGTGTGCGCAATTTTAAAAGTATGACATGTTGGATATCTATTTACTCGCCGTAACATCATCTTTCCTTTTTTACAAAAACATTGGGGTATATTATTATTTTTTTTTTTTTTTTTTTTTTTTTTTTTGCATAAGTGTATTTTTTTTCTCCAAAAAATATATATATAAATTTTTAAAAAACTGCTGTCCATTTCGGTGCATCCTGAAGTTTTGGTTTCGGCACCAGAATTTTAATTTCGGTGCACCACTACTTGCTAGTGCCAAGAAAATATCCCCCACACCATTACACCCCCCCCCCCCCCCCCCCCCCCAGCCTGAACCGTTGATACAGTGCAGGATGGATCCATGCTTTTTTTGTTTTATGCCAAATTCTGACCCTACCTCCTGAATGTTCCAGCAACCAGTCCGCCCATTCTCCTCTGACATCAGCAAGGCTTTTTTTGTCCACACAACTGCTGCTCAGGGGATATTTTCTCTTTTTTGGACCATTTTCTGTAAACCCTATAGATGGTTGTGCATGAAAATACCTGTTGATCAGCAGTTTTTGAAATACTCAGACCAACCCATCAGGGACCAACACTGTACCATGTTCAAAGTCCCTTTAAATACCCTTTCTTCCCCATTCTGATGCTTGGATTGAACTACAGCAAGTCCTCTTCACCACGTCTAGATGCCTAAATGCATTGAGTTGCTGCCATGTAATTGGCTGATTAGCAATTTGTGTTAACAAGAAATTGACGGATGTATCTAATTAAGTGGCTGGTGTGTGGAGATCCTTATTGGTTCAGTCATGCTCCTAAAATTGGTAGCTATTAATTGCTAGGAGTAGTTATGGACAACTAAACAGATGGCACACATGGCTCCCAATGGTGTAAATTGCACAAGTAGCATGTAGTTACTGCTTGTTGGTACAATTTTAACATCATTTATTGATCGTTCAGCGCAGTTCTCTGATACTATGGTCAACAACATACTCCATGTAACTTACTCTATATTTGTTTCATCTATTTCATTAGCACTTAATACTCCCACAGGTTTTAGCAGCGTAATTCAGCTACTAAAACTGTCAAGTAGCTCTAGCCTAACATCCAGCAATGAACAAAAATATTACATTTCCATTTTTTAGTATTGAATAGTATAGCATATATTTTTTTTTTAATATAAAACGCTTGCAAGTTTATTGGGGTGGAAAAGGTTTAGAAACAATTTCCCTTTTTTTAGGTACAGCAGGTGGCTAGACTACAGTCAAATTTATACCCAAAGTTTATTCTTTGGGAGGTCATATTTCCGGTTACTGTCATCTTGTTTTTCATAGTTTGTACTTATTGACTATACGAGTGTTCTAAGAATATACATAAAATAACTGTGTATCCTTATCCCCATATACACCCTCAAGGTCCAACCCTCTATTTCCCATGTTGGGCTTCAGGTAATATCACAGTCCAAAATTTATTTCCTGAGTAAGCCATGCTCAGTACTTTGATCTTTTTAAAAGTTCTATTCACTGCCCCATAGAAGACCAGCACTTTGAAGTTGGGCACAGCACATATCAGTTCCACAGCACAAATAGCAGAAATACCTGCTATGGCCCTGGTTTTCATGCACACCAAGCCTGTCCCTGCTTCTGTCTTACTGCTAGTGGGACCTTGCTCTTAGTCCTCATCCAGCCTCTCTTCTAGCTCCATGCTTACCAAGCCTTTCCAGCAGCTGAATACCTCCCGCTTTCTTCCACCCTCACTGATGGGTTCTCACCATCCTTTCAAAATAAGAAACACTGCTAGTGCAATTAAAGTATCGGTTTTCTTTACTGTAAAGTTCAGTACTCGCCCAAATACAGTAGTGCATACTAAGGGTGTAAGCTCCTCACTGGTAACATCTGTCTGAGGCCCACACCCAACAGCAGATTCCAATTGGTAATGGTTCTATCTTTCAGTGAAGTTTGGCTCCTGCCATCCAGCGTTCAGTGGGTTTCATAGGGAAGAAGACTACCGTCATTACAAAATGCAGTTCCTGATGTACCTGTCAGCAGGGAACAGACAGGTTTTGTTACTTGTGGGGAACTGTGCATTGAGCCATTTGCAGTTCTAATTTGGGAGGTTCTGTCACATAGGTTCTGTTTCAAGAGCTGTGTGCTGACCACTTATGCTGTCAGCTATTTGCTGCAGTCACTTGCTGAAATAGAACACATTTTTGCATATTTAATAAAATATTTAGGTGTTTTGATTAGTAATGTATTTTCTGTTTTCTCTAAAGCTGCTTAAACCACCACGGACTCCAACATGAATGGCCAACTGGATCTAAGTGGCAAGCTGATTATTAAGGCTCAGCTTGGAGAAGACATTCGCAGGATTCCAATCCACAATGAAGACATCACCTATGATGAGCTGGTCCTGATGATGCAGAGAGTATTTAGGGGAAAGCTCTCTACCAATGATGAAGTAACCATCAAATATAAAGATGAAGGTATGTTGTCTGGTATTTGAATGACAAAGTAGCTGAATTTTTTACCATTTACCTGAAAGTGATTCATAGAATAATGCCAGGAGTTAATAGGGAGTATATAGCAGAGCAAAAGGGGTGTAGAAATTTTTTAAAAAAACTACTTGTCCAGGGACTAAATCGGTGTCGCAATCTACTTGTCCCTCATGACAATCTACTTGTCCTGATTAAAAATAAATGCCTCCCAAATGCTTCCACCTGACAGGTGAGCCCTGCTGCTTGTCCGAAGCAGGGCTGAAGGATAACAAAAAAGCTACCTGCCCGCCACTACATCGCCCGGATGATGGACGATACAAGTTCAACATCCCTGAACCTTTATTTTCAGGACTTCATATAGAACATTCTACTGTAATTTGGCAACATTAAGCAAAGTAGAGGGAACCTCACAGTGAATAAAATACTTGTTTAAAAATCTAAAAAATGCTGACGTACAGACCACTTTCTTCTAAAGAGCTTACTGATCTTTTTAAACTGCAGTTTAAACTCCTTGTAACATTCTCACTCAGATATTCATAGCATTGCCCTCTGCTTAAAGTGGAATTTCACTCTGTCAATATTGACTACTTTTAATCATTATGCTGCTAGTATTAGTAAATAGATATGAGAGTACAAGGGTTAGACAAAAAAAATGGAAACGTTACATGATTTGCATTTGTGAAAGTAACAAGAAGTTTCACGTTGAAAGCGGAAGTGATGTAGCATTCTTTTGCTTCCACTTGGTGATGAGACACCTAGCTAACAGGTGGGACACTTTCCTCCTTCTCTGCCTCCGCCTTGTGTCAGAGCTTACCGAGACTCAAAGGGCAAATAGTTGGTGCCCGCTTAGCTGTGCCTCTGTGACTGATGTCAATTTCTTTGCCTTGTCGCAAGGTACAGAATAAAATGTTATGACGGCATATACAGTTTTCTGAGAAAACGTCATCTAATAAGCCTAAGTGTGGTTGACATGGTCAGCTGACCGAAAGAGACAAAAGGATATTGTGCAGGATTGTGACCCTGGTATAAGAATACTACTACTGCAATAGCGGCTGCAGAGCTCAATCTCAGTCTTTATGGAAAAAATGTCTGGATGGGAGCATATGCTGCTCTAAAACGTGGATATACCATTCAGCATTGATGTGCAAGCTGCCCGTTCCATACGCACTAATGCACCCCCCCCCCCCCCCCATAGCATCATGCTTTTGAACTGAGCACTGATAAGCTGGAAAGTCCCTCTCTTCCTTAGTCTGGAGAATGTGGAGCTGTGGTTGCTAAAAAAAAAACAAATATAACATTTTTGACAGTTTTCCACTTTGCAACAGACCATTTTAAATAAGCTTTCGCCCAGAAAAGACAGCTCTTTTGGAACATACTCAGATATGGCTTCTTCTTGTATAATCGATATAATAGATGTAAAAAATAATAGAGAACTGTGTACACAGGTAGTGATTATTAGAAGTGTTCCTGAGCCCATGCAGTTATGTCAATCACAGAATTATGCCTGTTTTTAATGTAGCGCTGTCTGAGGGCCTGAAGACCATGAGCATCCATTACTGTGTTTTGGGTCTTGTCCCTTGTGCACAGAGATTTCTCCAGATGCTCAGAATCTCTTGATATTATGTACTGTAGATGATGATAATATGTTTAAAGTCTTTGCAATTTTATTATTCTGAAATTGACAATTTTTAGATGCAGCTTTTCATAGATTGGTGAGCCTCTGCCCATGTTTACTTCTGAGACACTCTGATTCTCTAAGATGCTCTTTTTATACCCAGTCATGTTACTGACCTGTTGCCAATTAACCTAATTAGTTGCAAAATGTTCTTCCAGCTCTTCCATGGTAGTATCATTTGCTTTGCCAGCTTTTTGTTGCCTTGTCCCAACAAAAACATGTTGTGTAGAACCGCCCCCTCACCTCCCTGATCCCCTGTTGTGACGGCTATTTTTTTCCCCCACTAGCTGTCACAATTTTAAATATAATGCAGCTGTATCGTTTATTCAGGGTTCTGTGAATGAGAAACTACAAGTCCTAACAGACTTTGCGGCTGTCTGGTTGTAGTTCTAAATGAACTACCATGGTGTTGTTGAGCGCTGTCGTAGTTCATTGATTCTTCCTGTCAATGTAAAACTATGCCTGTACAAGGTACACGCACACAGATTACACTGACAGTCTGCTGTAGACCTGCATGGCACAGTGATCTGCTGATCGCGGGTGCAATGCTTTCCAGACTTTTAAAATATAGTAAGTGCATATTTTTTTTACCTGCAAAAAAAGGTGCATTTATTATTTTTTGTTAAAAGGTGAACTTGTCCTTTTAACCATTTTTCATACAGGGCACCTTTACCACCTTCCTTCCCAGGCCAATTTTCAGCTTTCAGGGCTCCTCACACTTTGAATGACGCTCGCTCAGTCATGCTATGCTGTATCCAAACATAATTTTTTTACACAAATACCGCTTTCTTTTGGTGGTATTTATTCTCCACTGGGTTTTGTATTTTTGAGACCTAAGCAAAAAAAATACCAAAATGTTTGAAAAAAAAAAAAAAAGGCGTTTTTCTTAGTTTCTAATATATCAGTTTGCAAATAAGTAATTTTTTTCTTCATAAATTTAGGCCAAAATTAACACTGCTACATTTCTTTGGTAAAAATAACCCAAGTTAGTGTATATTATTTAGTCTGTATGTAAGTTATAGATTATACAAGCTATGGTACCAATCATTGAAAATTGATCACACCTGATGTACTGAGGGTCTTTCTCATCTCTTGAGACCCTAACATGCTTATACAAATAGCTCCCAAATTACCCCTTTTTGCAAAGTAGACAGACCAAGGTGTTTAGTAAGAAGCATGGTGAGTTTTTTTGACGTTACAATTCTCCCCCCCCGAGTATGGTGATACCAAATGTGTGAGCCTGGCCACATACAGGGATCCAACATCGAAGTAGCACCTTCAGGCATTCTAGGAGCATAAAAAGGACATAAATTACACATCCAATTTCCTGACTACCTATCATAGTTTTGAAGGCCCTGGAGCACTAGGACAGCGGGAACAAAATGACACCATTTTGGAAAGCAAACATCCCAAAGTATATTCTTTCAGGCATAAGGAGTCTTTTGAACATGTCATTTTGTTTCCAAAAGTTTTTAGAAGACTAGGAAAGGAAATGAAAGCATTTTAGATATTTCTAACACAGAGCATGTACATACCAAGATTTATTCCCAAAAATATATTCTGCTACTCTTCCTGAGTATGGCGATACCACATGTGTAAGATTTTTCCACAGCTTGGCCACATAGAGGGGCCCAACATCCAAGTAGCACCTTCAGGCGTTCTAGGGGCATAAATTACACATCTAATTTCCTGATTATCACAGTTTTGAAGGCCCTGGAGCACCAGGACAATGGAAACACCCACAAAATGACCACATTTTGGAAAGCAAAAACACTTAACGTATATTCTACGAGGCATAATGAATCTTTTGAACATGTCATATTTCTCCACGAGTTTTTGTAAAATATGGAAACAATATGAAAGTGTGTGGTGTGTGTTTTTTTTTTTTTTTTTCTTACACACAAAGTTGTCAATTTATAAGATATTTCTTATACACTCAAATACATTTTGTTACTCCTCATGAACCTGACAATACCACATTTGTGAGACTTTTTCACAGCCTAGCTGAAGAAAGGATAAACAAAAGATTACATCTTAATAGAGCAGTTGTCTGCAGAGGAGAGCAATTAGACTAGGAAGCAGGCATCAACCACAGGGATCGTCCAGGCAGAAATATGGTGGATAAAGAGGCCAGGGTAAGAACAGGCAGCAGGCTGACACCCAGGCAGGAACCTGGTCTTTAAAAAATTCTTGGGTCAGTACAGGCAGCAAGAGGAGATATGGTCAGCACAGCCAAAGTATTGCTCCAGGTAACAGGCAGGAACATGGTCCATAAAAAGTCGCCTTGTGTTCACTAGATTTTGTGGGAAGCCTTCCTGTTTGTTTGGGTGGTAACGGAGGCCAAGTTTTCTCACAGTACAGGTGGCGGAAAAGGGGCTGGCTTGTGTAATAATTATCTAGGTAGATGTGATACCCCTTTTTTGAAATCCAGGTCCAAGAGTATTTTTCCACTTGTAAAACAAGTAATAACAGTGAGCGCACAAGGTAAACCAGAAAAATAGCTGCTAGCATAAAGGATAAACCCCTTGATCCTCAAACCACAGACTGAATATGTAGCATTTTTCCACTTGTGCCAATGTAGGTAGGGCACTCGGGGCTGGAGCTGGCAGTCTTTGCCTTTGTACATGCAGAAGGCATGCACATATCCCGTGGCACTTTAACAGAGCTTGTTGAGCTTCAGTCCATACCTGGCCCTTTTGCTGGGAATGTATTGCTTTCCCAGCCGGCCAGTAAAATGGACAAGAGATTCATACACAGATATTTTGGTCAGGGACATAAAGTTCAGCAAATATTTTAGAAAAAAAATTAGTGGGCGAATTTTATAGAGTTTGTCAGAGCCAGGCTGATCTCGGGGAGGGCACTGTGATTTGTTACTGGAATGTAGGAAGTGTATGTCATAGCATGACCTGGCCATTACAGCTGAAAAAATGGGAATGTGATGGATGGGGTGGGTAACCCAATATGAATGTAATTAATTTTTTTATTTAATTTTTTTTTTTGTAAGGCCCAAAAACCATTTAAACTCCTCTTTTTTTGTTAGGCGTCTCCATTCAAATGAACGAGCATAGCATGAATTGGGGTGGTCTGAGATAAATTGTTTGGCAGAAAGGTTAGTCTGGTCCACAATAAATTGAAGGAAATTATCGGGGAAAAATACAATTTTAAAAATCACTCGGGGATGTTGGGCTGCACTCCTGGCTGTGCAGTGAAAGGAGGATTGCAGCTGATCTTGAGCTGGAAGGCAGTCATAATGGGTTTGCCAGAGCTTTTCGGGCCCTGACTCTTGGGATCTGGCGTGATATTCCAGTACTGG